CTAACTAACGCTAACTAACCCACCGACACCGGCCCAACAGGACACATGGGTAAACAAACCCTAACTAACCCACCAACACCGGCCCGACAGGACACACGGGTAAACAGACCCTGACTAACACTAACTAACCCACCGACACCGGCTCGACAGGACACATGGGTAAACAGACCCTAACTAACACTAACTAACCCACCGACACCGGCCCGACAGGACACACAGGTAAACAGACCCTAACTAACGCTAACTAACCCACCGACATCAGCCCGACAGGACATACGGGTAAACAAACACTAACTAACGCTAGGACACACAGGGTAAACAAACACTAACTAACGCTAACTAACCCACCGACACCGGCCCGACAGGACACACTGGTAACTTAACCCTAACTAACGCTAACTAACCCACCGACACCGGCCCAACAGGACACATGGGTAAACAAACCCTAACTAACCCACCAAAACCGGCCCGACAGGACACACGGGTAAACAAACCCTAACTAACGCTAACTTGCCCACTGACACCGGCCCGACAGGACACACAGGTAAACAAACACTAACTAATGCTAACTAACCCACCGACACCAGCCCGACAGGACACACGGGTAAACTAACCCTAACTAATCCACCGACACCAGCCCGACAGGACACACGGGTAAACTAACCCTAACTAATGCTAACTAACCCACCGACATCAGCCCAACAGGACACATGGGTAAACTAACCCTAACTAACAGTTCTGCTTCTCTGTCTGTTCATGCTTTCGTTGGATCAGACTGATCTCACAGACACTGCTATGCTAACTAACCCACCGACACCGGCCCGACAGGACACACTGGTAACTTAACCCTAACTAACGCTAACTAACCCACCGACACCAGCACGACAGGACACACGGGTAAACAAAGACTAACTAACGCTAGGACACACAGGGTAAACAAACACTAACTAACGCTAACTAACCCACCGACACCGGCCCGACAGGACACACTGGTAACTTAACCCTAACTAACGCTAACTAACCCACCGACACTGGCCCAACAGGACACATGGGTAAACAAACCCTAACTAACACACCGACACCAGTAAACAGACCCTAACTAACGCTAACTAACCCACCGACACCGGCCCAACAGGACACACGGGTAAACAAACCCTAACTAACCCACCAACACCGGCCCGACAGGACACACGGGTAAACAAACCCTAACTAATGCTAACTAACCCACAGACACCGGCACAACAGGACACATGGGTAAACAAACCCTAACTAACACACCGACACCAGTAAACAGACCCTAACTAACGTTAACTAACCCACCGACACCGGCCCAACAGGACACACGGGTAAACAAACCCTAACTAACCCACCGACACCAGCCCGACAGGACACACGGGTAAACTAACCCTAACTAATGCTAACTAACCCACCGACATCAGCCCAACAGGACACATGGGTAAACTAACCCTAACTAACAGTTCTGCTTCTCTGTCTGTTCATGCTTTCGTTGGATCAGACTGATCTCACAGACACTGCTATCGATGGAGATTTAACGGCCACCGAGGTTTGTGATCTGAGCTCGACTCTCATCTGATTTCTCTTCAGATTCTTCAGTAAAAAACTGAATAATGACAGACGTGATCAGATCTGTGACGTCAGAAAATCAAGCAGAAAAACAAGAATGCAATGAGCGATTGCAGTAATTAGATTGCTCATTAAGATACGGCAGGGCTGTTGATGTTCTTATTAAACTTTAATCTGATAATGACTAATAATCATAATTGTTCTTCCAGAGATGGAAACATTAAGCCTGTCATGTTAATGAGTTTAGCCTCCTGATGATCCCAAGCGTCTCATTCCTTCATATCAGCGTTTACTCTCATGTGTCATAATTTCGCATGTTTTTTGTGTCTTTTGTGCAGTCGGATCAGGAGGACGAATCTGAAGCAAAGACGCAGGTAAGATTCAATAGTCTGTACTTACATATTAAAACACTTATACTCTGTAAATATAATTTTTCAAAGTTGTAAAGAAAGATTATTAGTTGAAAGAAAACACTATTTTAGCCTTTGTACTTCGGTACTTGCCATTTATTTGTAAGTATTTGTGAAATTTACTAGTTATTTCTGACTGAACATTTTTTTTAAATAACTCCACACCAAATTATTTAGTGTACACTGATTTTAAAAAATGGTGTAAAAACAATTTCACAAAGAATTACAAAGATTCAGCAAGCAACACACTGAATTAAATGTGAATTTTTGAAATGGTATTTTCATGTAAAATGTGCTCCAATAATCTAAAAATACTTTTATTAACCTTTTTATTAAAAAAATATTTTAATAATAATATTTTATTAATAATAGTAATATTAACATTTATAGAAATAAATACTGTATATACAATATTTATTTAAAAAATTACTTATAAAAAATGTATAATTACAACACTTTTTTCATTGTAGTCCTGAAAAACTTCTGATTGTCCAGTGATCTGAATCTGTCTATAGAGTGAATACAGTCACTGTGTGTGATATATGTATGTTCACAATATAACTCAATCTCTCATTCCTCGTGTCTTATTTTTAATCTGTATAGTGTTGAATCATATATGTGTGTCTGAGTGTTTACTGACAGACACTGAGAGAGTGTGAGATGTGTGTGTTTTGGTGTGAATGAATGGATCTGTGTTTCCTTCAGCCCAGTTTCATAAGGCGAATTAAAGGAGAGAATGTGTTTGTGAGACACAGTAAGCTGATGTTAGAGGCTGGTAAGGAATGGATGTGTTTTAACTCGATACTGCAGCAGCTGTGTTCATGTCTGTGATTTATGTGTGCGTTTGCAGCGGCAGTGAAGCTGATTTACTCACTGAAAATGAATTTTATACCTTGTGTGATTAGCTCTCTGTGTTTGCAGTGCGTGTGCAGTTGAACAGAGAGTGTGTGTGTTTTATGCATGTCAGTTAATTGTTTCCATACAATGCTTTAAATGCATTTAATTAGCTTCTTGAGGCAAATTAAAGGAGAGAGTCTGTTTTTCAGAAGTTTATAACGAATCGTCTCTGTGGGATTTAATTGCATGAGATTCTCATATGTTACTGAAGACATGCAAGTAATTTATGCATAAAGGAGTTTATTTTGAGTGAGGATTTTGTGTTGTATTTCCACTAGTTCTAGTTAACCCTTTGCTGCTGTTTGGTCATTTTGGACCGGAAAAATCTTACGTAGAACTTTTTTAGAATTTGGAATGGTACGAAAGTTGGTAAAGTTTTTGGCACTTGCAATGTGAACACAAAAAAAAGTCATGGACATGATTTGAAAAGATGAAAAGGTCCTGAAAAAATAGATGTACTTGTACTGTTCGCGGTCAAAAATTATCACATTGGAAACGAATGGGAAGTGGAAGCGTTTGGTACTGCGCCCAAACAAAATTTGACTGAAAGCTCATTTTTTTATGATATCAACCTCAAATTTGGAACACAACTTGTTTAGATTTATGCCTTTTTTAAAGTAAAACATGTTTTGAAAAAATACGTCATAGAAAATTGTAAAATTGCATTTTAGTGCATTTCTCTTAATAATAAACTTTTGTAACTTTTTTAGAATGTTGTACATTTTTTCACTTCAGCAATAATCTGCCAAGTGTCTTCTTTAAAAAGAGATCAAACTTGAACTGTAGTCAGTTCAAAAAAGTTGAAAATCTCATTTTCAGGTATATGCGCCAAAAAAAACAGGTAATAAATGGATCATAACTATTCCAAAAACTAAAATACTAAAAAAAAAGTCCGCACACTCTCTAAAATCAAAAAGTCACAAGCGAGATGAAAGCAGTGTAAGCAATTTACTGAAAAAGACAAGGCAACAAGGCAAACAGACTTTTTTCTAGTATTTTTGGGAACCTTTTTTGGTCTGTGCACCTTGGTTAGATTGTTTTCAAGGCATAGTGAGTCTCTGGCTGTTTTTCTCATAACTATTCCATATATGTGTCCCTGGAGCACAAAAGCAGTGTTAAGTCGCTGGGGTATATTTGTAGCAATAGCCAACAATACATTGTATGGGTCACAATTATACATTTTTCTTTTATGCCAAAAATCATTAGGATATTAAGTAAAGATCATGTTCCATGAAGATATTTTGTAAATTTCCTACCGTAAATATATCAAAACTTAATTTTTGATTAGTAATATTCATTGCTAAGAACTTCATTTGGACAACTTTAAAGATGATTTTCTCGATATTTAGATTTTTTTGCACCCTCAGATTCCAGATTTTCAAATATTGTCCTATCCTAACAAACCATACATCAATGGAAGCTTATTTATTCAGCCTTATGACTGGTTTTGTGGTCCAGGGTCACAAATATAATTTACCTACAATAAAATCCCATAAAAGTGCAAAAATATGAACTAAAACATGGTCATTAATTTAATTGAAACAAAAACCACACAAGCAGCTCCAGAGCCTGTATTCAGTACTATTCAGTAAGTATTCAGTACTCTTAATTTCCAGCGATATCGTCGACTTGATTGCACAGATACTATTTAAACTGAACTGAGCTGGACGATGTCATCACTGAATTCAATGAACTGCCTTTAACTGAAAATTGAGTGTTTATTATTATCCTTCTGCATTATTACACACTATTTTCTTATTTAATACTGTAAAGCTGCTTTGACACAATCTGTATTGTTAAAAGCGCTGTATAAACACAGGTGACTTGACATGTTGTGTTTGTTCAGGAGATCGAGCAAACGCCAGACGAGCTGCTGAAGCATCAGACCAACATCAGCGAGCTGAAGCGCACGTTCCTGGAGGGAGGACCGGAGCGCACGGGGCTGACCGAGTGGGAGAAGCGTCTGTCCTCGTCTCCGCTGCGGTCTCCACGTCTGGACGAAGCGCCCATGATCGAGCCGCTGGAGCCGGACGAGGTGAGATCCATGTCTCGCATGTGTTGATCAGAATGGAAAACCAGACGCTGCTGTAATTAAAAGATGCCGTTCTTTGAAAAGGATCTGAATGCAGCCGGTTCAGACGAGAGCGACAATAAAACCTCTTATTGATTTAGTTTTTCCGCTCCTGAAACACTCACGGTTCTGGCGTTTAGCTGCTCGAAGCACTTCAGATCAGAGAAAATCATTATGTGCCGCTTACATAAAACCCGACAGAGGGAAAGACGGGAAAAATCCTGTCCTTAATCAGGATCTGTGTGTTGCGCTTCTGAAGAATTCTCTCAACATCCTTCTGAATTGAAGACTTGTTTTCAGAGAAAGAAATTTAAAAAAATACATTTTGTGAGATTTACGTTATATATATTATAAACCTCACATTTATTTATTTATTTAAAATGTATTTCATATTTATTTACTTATAGATTTATTTTTACTTATAGAGTATTATGTTTAATTTTCAGTTTATGATTCAATTATTTAGAAATTCTTTTATATATTATATTTTCCATATATTATTTTTATGTAATTGTGTTGATCTAATTACGTTTTGTCTAATTGCGTTTTTATTATAAATCTCTCAAAAAATATTTCTTCATTTATGGCATTTTTGTAGTACTTCTATGATGATCAAAACTCCTTGCTATGACTTTTTATAATCCATTTTTATTAAAGAAATTGTGTGTGTGTGTGTGCGTGTGTGTGTGTATACATATATTATGAACCTCACATTTATTTATTTAATTTATAAATTTCTTGCAGCCATTTTTGATTAAAACTACTGGCCATGATTTTTAAAATTAATTATTATTAAAATAATTAGACATGTGATGTGGTCTGGATCTTCAACAAAAGCACAAAATCTTGTTTTTCCTTTGAATTAAGTTTTTTTTTTTTTACCCCATTGGCAGATATTTTTTGTGGTTTTAAGTAAAAACTAACAAAAGTTTGATAACTTTCTCAGAAAACAAAATGAATATCTTAAGTCATTTAGCTTCTCAAGTAAATGTATCTTGTTTCAAGAACGTTTAGATATTTTTAATGGAAAATGAGACAAAAATACTAAATAGAAAAAGTGCAGTGCATTCAGCTCCATCATTTTGACTCTTGTTTTTTTTAAATGTCTGTTGCTTTAGCTCAAACAGGAAGCAGTGGTGGAGATACAGGAAGTGGCCGCAGCCGCTCTGGAGCCGCAGGAGGAGAAGGTTGATGTGGTAGGTGATCCATTCCTCCTCATCAGATGCTCATGATCATGATGATGTGTGTCATTGGGCTCAGCAGCGTCAGTCTGTCTGTCCGTCTCAGTCTTCATGGATCAGGCGTGACTAACGGTGCTTTTCCTCCAGTCTGCTAACATGATCTTTGTGTGTTACATGTAGGAGTCTGACGGGTGGGTCATTATAAACAAGGTTCCTCCGTTTGAACCAGATAAACGTCCTCCAGTCAAAGCAGAAACGTTTTCTCGTAAGATACCAGAGAAGGGTTCCACCGTAGTACAAGAACAACGTCCTCCAGTTGAGCTAGAAAAACCCTCGTCTGCCGAATCTGAAGAGCTTCCTCCAGAGAAAACTCCTTCTAAGCTTCCAGAAAAGGTTTCTACCATAGTACAGGAGACATTTCCTCCAGAAAAACCTTATTTGTTTGAATCTGAAGAGGATTCTCCAAGGAAAACTCCTTCTAAGATTCCAGAAAAGTTTCCTCCAGAAAAACCATTGTCCATTGTATCTGAAGAGGTTTCTCCAAGGAAAACTCCTTCTAAGATTCCAGAAAAGGTTCCTCCAGAAAAACCCTTGTCCATTGTATCTGACGAGTATTCTCCAAGGAAAACTCTTTCTAAGATTCCAGAAAAGTTTCCTCCAGAAAAACCCTTGTCCATTGTATCTGAAGAGGATTCTCCAAAGAAAACTCTTTCTAAGATTCCAGAAAAGTTTCCTCCAGAAAAACCCTTGTCCATTGTATCTGAAGAGGATTCTCCAAAGAAAACTCTTTCTAAGATTCCAGAAAAGTTTCCTCCAGAAAAACCCTTGTCCATTGTATCTGAAGAGGTTTCTCCAAGGAAAACTCTTAAGATTCCAGAAAAGATTCCTCCAGAAAAACCCTTGTCCATTGTATCTGAAGACGTTTCTCCAAGGAAAACTCCTTCTAAGATACCAGTAAAGGTTTCTACCATAGTACAAGAAACTTTTCCTCCAGAAAAACCTTCTTTGATTGTATCTGAAGAGTTTTCTCCAAAGAAAATTCCTCCGAAGGTGCCAGAAAAGGTTTCTACGGTGGTCCAAGGAAAGGTTGAACCCATAAAGGTTCCTTCTATTGGTTCTTCAGAGCATGTTCCTCCTAAAGTACCACCAAAAGTCCCCCCGAAGGTTCCAGAGAAGAAACGCATCGCCAGCTACAGATTCACATCCGCCTCGAGCACGGCGTCGTCCCGTGAACCTCCAGAAGATAAACTCACCGGATCTCTAGAGGGTTTCTCCGTTGTGTCCGAGCAGATCAGTAAGACGCGTCTCCGCTCTCCTGTGGACCTCAGCAGAACGTCTCCGACGGCTCGAGTGGTAGGATATCCCGACGTCTCGCTTCTCCTCGGCCTGGCTTTGAGGTCTCAGACGAACTCTGAAGCCAGAGCTCCACACGCGCTCCTGATTTGAGTTCGGTTGTTTTGGTCTGACACAAATCCCTCTGGCTGGCATTTGCTGTCACTGTTTGTTGTTTTGAGCCTCTTCTCACCAACCCTGAGAGCAGGAGCCTGTTTTCTTCATTGTTTTGGAGAATGCCGCTGCTTTGCTTTAGTCATGACTGAGGAACGGCAGCGTCTTTGTTTTGCGCTCTGGCTGCTGCTGGATATGAGGGTTTATTCATAAGAGAGTCTCTTTTATCTTCAGAGATCACGAGTCAAATGGCTGCAGAAGGTCTTCGATGTAAACTAGATAAATTCAAGCTTTTAAAACTTTTTTAAACTTTCTGGTCTAGCTTTATCAAGCCAACTTCAAAGTTTGTCACAACAAATCTGCTGGTGAAGCACCAAACAAGAAGTAAAGTTGTGTTCCTGAAGCACTTCTGCAAATTAACAACATTTTGTAGGCATCATTCCATCAGCTTGGTGTTAGCGCCACCTGCTGGACAAACGTTATAAATAAGATTATTGGTCATCATAATCTTTGAGCTGCTTGAATCCTTCTCTGACCAAACTGATCCGCTCACTCTCACTGTTTGCATGTCACTGGTGTGTTTGGCTCAGAAATTATTCATGCAGCTGTATTTCCAGCCTTTACGTGAGACAACTCTGATTTTAAGTTGAAAAATGCATACAAAATAAAAAATAAAATTGCATTAATTTTAGTTCTCTTGTAAATTATAAAGTAAATTCTTTGCACAATGCAGCAGGTGTTCTCTTATGAATAAGTCCTAAATGAGCCCCTTCACTCCCTTAATTACCCAGAATGCTCTTG